TCTAAATGGGTAGTGGGGTACCAGGTAGTGGGGGTCCTGAGAGTCCCTAGGAAATCTGGTGCTATGTTTTCAACGTGTTTGCAACAGTGATGCTAAAATTAGCTGGAGGGTTTGATAGGACATCAAAGGCTTTCCCAAACTAGGGTGAGTTCTTATCTTTCAGGGATGAAAAGGAGATAGGTCCCCTTCGGGATGATATAGGGATGATGAGAACACAAATACTCATGTTTTGAGATGCAGCTCTGCTGCAAATTTTAAAGATGTCTGAAACATGGAGCTCGCGCAGGTTCTTCTCCAAAGGAGCTCTGTCTACTTTAGCCTTATCGTGGAACCCTTAACAGTGGACAATGGGGGTCCCTTTTGTAGTTAAAGTGTAGTATAGTCCTTAATAAGGAGCCCATGTTGACTAAACTATGTAAGGACTGTAGCTCATATGAGCTCTCATAGGTGTGCACCCCCAGAAAGTGGGCGTCCTTCTTCGGGAGTTCCCTATATTAGTTAGGATTGTTGAATGGAAGACGGGGACTCTTGTTTTTGGCTTGACAAATGGAACTGAGGAAATTCCGGTAGATTTGGTTCCCCCAAGGGTCCAAGTACCTAATAGTCATACACTTACCCCAAACCTGTACTGCAATTACGATCCTAAACCCTTAAACCCTAAAACCTGACCAAGACCCAAGTGCCTACTTATTGGCTCCTTATTGGGTACTTGGACCCTATGGGTTGCCCTGTCTCGCCAACCTACATCCACTCCGCAATGGTGGGTTGGGGTTGGGCTGAGAAAAGGGCCTATTGAAACAGAAGGGTGCTTTGGGGCGTAGTAGTTGAAGCGATCTGAGTGGATATCCCTACAGCAAAGAGAGGGGCTTGAATGAACGGATCAAGGTATGAATCCCATGTGGTATGAGATTTCTGTGCATAGATCTGCTCCTCATCTTGCTTGTTCTTATATTGCCCAAGTGATTCCACTGACCTAAACCCTAAACCCTTCATCCACTGACTTCCCGGAGGAAGATCTTTGGCGTCAACGTTCACCCGGTCCGGGCGCCAAACGCATGTCTGGCAAATAGGGTCTCCTCCAGTAGAACCACAGAGTCATTGTTCAGTACAAGTCATGGTGGGTGTATATATATATATACATATGTTACAGCCCAGTAAGCAATACAGCTTAGAATTTAGAATTGGATCCCAATACAAAACCAAAGCAGCGATGTAAGCTGGCTGCAGCCCATCTGTTGTTTGGACTGAGGTCTGGGGCGGCTGGTTCCTGCCTCAGAGCTCTTCCGCAGTATCAGATCCGAATCAAGGATGCCCAGACATCATCACTTCGTTGATAAGGGCTTTGTAGCTTTGTTGATCACTGTAAGTATGCACTGTAATTGTACCAAGCGCGCAAAACCTGGCTGTCCCTGCTCGGGCCCTAATCTATAGCTTTCTAGCTCTAGTGGAACCAGCCCAGTCCAGGTATGCGTATCGAGCCTTGATTGTTCTCCGCAAGGGCACTCAGGCCTACTGCAGTTCGGAAGCAGAGGCGTGAATAAAGTCTTACGGGGCACAGCTTCTGAGTGCTACCCGCTAACCCCTGAATTTTGTGGATTGAAGCTTGTCCAACCCATCACTCGTAATATTCTAAGACGGCACCTTGGCCGCTCGGGAGGCGTCGCTTCAACAGCCAGAGCCTCTGACATTCCTGATGTTGGAGGCTTGGAGGGAAGAAGCAGCAAAATATGAGGCCTGCCAATTGGGCTGGCTTTTAAGAAGTACAGGCAGTTACTGGAAGATCTACGACAACAAGTTATAACCCGGATTATCCAACAGCCTCTTTTGACTCCTGCTATTGTAGACAACATTGGTGTTTCTCAATGTGCGCACCTAGGTTGAGATACCTCCGTCTTTCCTCGTATAAACTCATGCCATCTCACCACACAACCACATGGTAGTTTACATAGTGGGGTGACCCCAATATAGACCCCCAAATGCTAGAATCCTTATTATCGGGACCCCTTAAGGGGTCCCCATAATTTTGGGAAACCGCAAAATCTAGTCATTACTAGGTTTTTTCGCCAAGCATCGGTCCCCTTCTGCCCCTGCCAGGCTCAACATGCTCTGATGGCCAATGTGTTTAAAAAAGCTTTCACACGCCCCGTAGCCCTACAACCCTAAACCCTAAGCCCTAAACCCTAAGCCTCTAAACCTAAACCCTAAACCCCAACAATTCCCACATGATTTGTGCATGTCCCTGGAGCTCGGGCAGGACAAGAAGCGCATCCTCTCTGAGTACAATCTGAGGAGAGCGTTAGTGCAAGATTCATGTGAGCTATTTGTACGAACTAAATTGAGGTTGGGGGGGACCTATAGGGGACTTTTTCGGGTTTTTGGGGGGACCTATTAAGGCAGATACTACAAATTTAGTCCAGGGCTCATGTGAGCTATAGTCTAAACTCAAATCTGGTTGTGTAGGGGATTATATAGGGGGGTACTATAGGGGGAAAACTAGGAGTTTAGACTATAGCTCATGTAGGACTTATGGATTGTGTGAGTTTAAGGTTTACAAGGTTCAGAAGTCTTGGGTTGCAGGCCTATTGTTCTGGCTGGTGGTATATGCTTTCTACGTCCATTCCGTTTTTGAGAAGGCTGCGCCGATCGTCCAAAAACAGAGGAGCCCGGGATTTCCAACGTTTTAGCCGTGGAAGAACCTCAAAAGGATGTCTCAGGATTCAGCACTCCTTTTGGAGCCATCTCCATGTTGAAAAAACTGGGTTGCTGTTAAGGACCTTAATTCAAGTTACTATATTTGGGAAACCCTATTAATTACTATATAAACCCCATTATGGTAACTTAATTGAAGTCCCTTAACAGCAACCCAGAAAAGGGATCCTAGAGCAGCTCCCTAGCTTCCTCATTCAGTCATCGCCCCAACGTACTCAAGCTCCTGGGTTGCTGTTAAGGGACCTAAATTAAGTTACCATAATGGGTATATATGAGCTGTAGTCTAAACTCCTTCAAGGGGGGTTGTATAGGGGATCATATAGGGGACTAGTATAGGGGGTATTAAGGGGATACTAGGAGTTTAGACTATAGCTCATATAGTAAATAATAGGGTTTCCCCAATATAGTAGCTTAATATAAGTTCCTTAACAGCAACCCAGGCTCTGAACCACAGAACCTTGAACTCCAGGACTCAGACCCTAATGCTTGGAAGTGACGGTTTAGAAATCTTATAACTTATAACAGGGCACATATTAGGGTTGTATTGGAAAAATGGAAAAGAACATGGAAGCTACTATAATCATGGGGTTTTATTGGGAATAATGAAAGATAAAATGGAAGCCTTCTGATATGGCTTTGGGTACATTATAATAAGATGCACGTATACCCCACATTCTATCTACTTAAGGGGGACATACGGGGACTATAGCTTTCATATTTTTTCACTGGGAGGCACCAGCTCTGCTTATGGCGAGACATCAATGATTCGCACGTCCCCGAAAGGAGATACAGCCCCACGCCACAGATTGTAGGGTTTAGGGTTTAGGGCTTAGGGGGAGGCTCTTGTGATGGTTGGATGGTGCATTTGGTTTGGGGCTCAGGTTTAGACAGTTTGAGGCATACAGTAGCCCACGTAGAATCATCAACAGGCTGCAGAACAAGGAACCGAAAACTACCCAGCGAACGGCGTGGCTGGGAAGCAGCCTCCGGTTCATGTGTTTAACCTGGGCCTACAGTTCCTAGTTTAAACGCAAGCCAACCTGCCGATTCTGGGGCCGTGGGCGGCGCTGTATGCGACCGTCTCGCGAAACGGGGCTGTCCTAAGGATCACCAGAGTGCTACTGGTTTGGAAGTGTTCAGACTCCACACGTCCATAGCCTCATCCAAAGCTGGCAAAACAGTGCCCGTGAGGTCCCCTAGAGTCCCAGGATTCACGATAATCTGACGACATTTGCCAGCGATGCCGCGCCAAGGTCCAGAGGAGTATTTCTTCTTTACGGAAACTTCTCCGGACAAGCGAAGGCCTGGCTGATGGCAAACAGGGGTTGCGGCTTAAGGGGGTGTGGTTATTTTGTTAAGAGCTCTAGCCCCAAGTACAGTAAACCAATGGTGCGCATGCATTACTTTAAGAGGTTCCTGAATCCCGAGAAGACCCTGGGATCCCTCTGAGTCCCTGAAGTAGGGCTTGGGAAGCAGGAATGAGGGATGTTTGAGGACAAGCCTCCAGATGCAGGACCTAGCCTTGAGGGGTATAGGGCTTAGGGGCGGGATGTTGGAGTCAGGGACCTCGAGTTTAGGACTCAAAGGCGCATGAGCTTGAGAAGAATCTAGCCTTAGTGTAGGGAGCAGGCCTAGAGTTAGAAGCTCTCTTGTTTGGAGTCCCATGCAGAACTCGCTTGACGCGCTAGCCTTTCAGCCCCAAGAAAGGTTTGCGCTAACGAAAGGCGGCATACACACAAAGTCCTAACTCTCATGCCTTGATTAGTAAATGTGTATGGTACGGCTAGCCGTAGCCAGAGCTGAAGCAACAACAATAAGACAAGTAATGCCCTGAACACAGAATCCCCTGTAAAACCTGTGAGGTTCAAAACACTATAAGCCCTGAACACTAAGCCCCAAAAGCCAGCAAGCCCCAGAGTGCTAAACGTTCCAAATCCCAAGCCCCAAACCCTAGGAGCCATAAAGCTGATCCTGCAGGCGCTTCCTTGAGATGAAGGCTTCGCAGATGGCCGCAGCTTCCCCAGAAGTGTAGGTACGGTCTCGGGTTTAGGGTTTACGGTGTAGGGTTTACATGTTTTCGTTTAACTCTCAGGGCCCAAGTACCCAAATATTCTATGCGTTGGCCCAATAGAGGAACCCATGTAGGTCCCAGGTACAGAGACTTGGACCCTCAGCACAGGACTAAGCGGAAGAAAGCTGTTAACGCTCAGAGAGCTGGGAGTTGTGGACCTTGGTCGCAATGGAGTCTTTTGCATGATGACTCCAGTTTGTGATAATAAGCGCAATAGTATTAATAAGAGATAACATATAATGATATTTATAATAGCAACTCAGTCATAATAGCAAAGATAGTCTTCAAGGGCCTGCAACCCTGAAGCCTGCAGAAGATTCGTATCATCATAGGGGGATCTTGGCTGGGGTTACCAAGATCCTCTTATCATCTGAGTAAAATGTCCTTGGCAAGATAGCTGCCTGAATAAGAACTGCTTACGTTTGCTGGTGCGACATCTTGATTGACGTTCATAGGTGAGAACAGATGTGATGAGTCTGGTAGGTCTTTGTACATTAGGTTCGCGCATTTGAGGAGCATTATTTCAAGCAAACTCCCACACAGCATTTCCGTAAGCCACAGGCTGTGCCGCGGCCAGGATCTCAGCACCGGAAGTGACGTGAGGGGTTCTCCAAATGTTGGGTACGCGGCTCAATGAGTACGATATTCTTTTGCGACAAATATGGGGACCCCATAAGTCAGAGAAACTTCCCTATCTCCTTATGTACTTACATCCGCTTTATGGAATGTCCTTTCCGTGGTCCGCATTTTCATAGCCCCTACAGTAGCTTCCTAAACCCTAAACCCCTAAATCCTGAACCCATGAACATACTTTGAGCAACTAGTGAACCCCCAAGAAATCCCACCTTTTGGGCCGCATGATTGCTTCCTGGCATATGGCTTCCTGAAGCTGACTGGTTCTCAGTAGGGAAGGAAGAAATATGTATATATAAATAATATAACCCCTTAAGAACCCCTATGAAGTATATTCCCTTATTCTCCTCTGGAACCCCAGTTCTACCCTATTATAATGTAGTAGTAGTTTCCATCTTATTTTCCATTATCCCTACAGAACCCAAACTTCTCTTATTCCCCACAAACCCTAGACCCTATAGTATATTACCTTATTCCCTACTAGCGACGCTTGCCTTGCAACAAGGCCCATTCCCCTCCCAGGACACAGCTGCCTTTGCTCAAAGCCCCTACGTCAAAGTAGAACGCATTCTGTTGGGGTATGTATGCACATATACATATATATAGGGGTATATGTAGGGGTTTTCTAGGAATAATGGGTGGAGGCTGGCGATTGAGTTGCAACTCCGGACGCCTTGCACTCCTAAATAATCCTGAGACCCATTGCAAGATCGTCGTGAAAGTTATTGTTCATGCCCATTCTCATGTTCAAGTAGGCTGACCCTCACCTAGTGACCTAGTTTGAGCAGATGCCTTACTCAGAAACAGTAGATTTCTAGGTATATCCATGTCAATGTAAATTACTTCACAAGGCAAGCTCACGAGGGACATTCCAAACATGCCCAGATCCTGTTGCCAACTCACGGATTAGTTTACTATCGCTTGTTATGCCGCTGGAAATCTTGACATTGCGTTGTTTCTGTACGTTGCATTCATGTTATGTCCATCTCTTTGTAGTCCTCATTACACACGCCTTCAGGTTCCTATCATCTTGGAACGAGCCCCAATCCGGACGACTTGTGTATGATGTGCGGAGCTTCTGCGAATATTCTCGATCTCAGACAGCCTAGCTCTATTGTAGTTGCATAACATGCCGATGTCTTATCGTTATGTCCAGGTGCTCAAACTGTGCTGTTTGTGAACATCTCAGGATGTGGAGGCCCCATCTAAGGCGCCCTTCACAGAAGGATCCTAGCTTTTTGTAAGGTGCGGTGCAAACCAAAAGCCGTCGATTGGATGTCATGCTGTGGTTTACTCGCTGTCATCAAACCCCCTCTAAGTTCCAAATGAGTAAGTTGCGAGGATAGGTCCTGAGCAATTGCCAGCCCAATTCCCCTGTCATCTCCGCATCGCTGAAACGCAATCTTCCAGAATACCGTTTCAGAGCATTCAGCCCCCTGTGTTTCCGGAGACTTCATCCACGAAGTGTAAACAGCAAATGACCACACCCCTTCTTTTGCATTCTTGAGGCCCCACTTGTAACCTCCGGATGATCCCCAGGCCACGGTGGGAAGCACGTTGAGATGAATGAGCTGGAGGGCTCTGGGAGTTTCTGAGACATGGGGATCGCTTACATACCCCCGATTTTTTTTTGAAGTGGCAGTGGCTCTTTATCTGTTCTATGCTTATTCTGGCACTTTTACGGGCTGATCCTCAGAAGATCCTCAGAGGCTGCCTCCCACGAGGGTGATCGTTTCTGCAAACACAGTTTTCCAAAGGGAGATGCTGCTCGGTGAAAACACATGCGCATCAGAATCTAGAGTCATGCCTAACTTGCCTTAGGTCATGCTCACTCGAACCACCTGTGGTATGTAGGCGTTTTTGGTCCCCAACATGGTTCACTCCCTTGCGTGCTCGCTTCCTTGCATGCCTGCCCAATCATACCTTTTTGAGGAGTTGCTACGAAGACGAAGACCACTATACAAAGTGAATGACGGACGTGTGCTCAAAGGCCCGGTAGGTCACAGCCAGCGACGGCCCCCAATGAGAGATGAGCAGTGACGTTTCTGTCATGGGTTCCCCTACCACGTGTTAGTATATGAAGTACCCCTCCTATACTAACTAGGTTCCCCCCTCAATTAAAGCTAGACGGAAAATTAAGCCTAAGGTTCATTAAGGGGGAACCTGGGGGAGCAGTACACAGCTGGGTAGTAGGGGAACCCATGATTCTGCCACAGCAAGACGTGGAATTACATCATATACTAGAGCAATAGCAAGGATTGTGACTGCTTGTTGCCATGGTTGCTGGTAACGTCGACAGACTTGACTATTCAAGACTACCCCGTTTGATTCTTCTGTATACTTCAACTTAGACTCCACCCACCCCACCATAGTGGCATAATAGGAGAAAGTGGGGACTTTCATGTAGATTTTTCCTTGCTGGTCACCATTAGTGAAGCGGGATGAACCTCATGTATAGCGAGTGTGACCATGCATGTGTTGTTGACTTACATTTGGGGATCTGGAAGAGATGGAGGCCTCGTCACGGCGTTCTGGTTCAAGAGCTCATCATTAGCTAAGAGGAGGAGCCTAGAGATTTAGAGGCTTCTATTATGCTATGGGCTACAAGCATCTGAGCAATTGGTCGTAGGATGCCAGACTCGATACCGTGGCTACAGGAAGGATGATACCTAATTCAAAACCTTGTGAATATTCTGCCCTTGTCCTGATTTCGGTGTTACACTCTGCCCCGAGCAGACATGTTGGGAGCAGATCAAGCCCCCGAACCCAGGCCTTGCGACATCCATGCTGAGTTTGGGGTTGAGGGTTTAGGATTTAAGGTGCAGGGTTCAGGATCTAGATTGGGGTTCAGGTTTTTACCGTATGGTTTGGGCTCGGGAGTCGCGTTTCCCCTATATATTCAAGAGATCCCTTCCGCCTTGCATGATTTCCACTTGTCGGAACTCCATTTACTGACATCAAGCATGCCCCCCTGCGCTCACTATTGTACCTGCCACTGTCTCAGCAGTGTTTGTCCGAACCATCATCACGTTCTACGATTACAGGGGCTGTTTAGCAAAAGCCCCGACATGAAGCCAAATACCAATCCTGAGGCAGTGTGGAACCGCTTCGTGCATGCCTTGTTATTGGAGGGCCCATCTCTAGAGGGAGGAAGGAAGAGCAGGAGTGAGGGTGGAGGGGGAGGCAGGCGGCAGGCAGGCAGGCAGGGAGGGAGGGAGGGAGGGAGGGACGGACGCAGGGAAGGAGGTGTTTTCGTGAGATGCCAAGCACCTGCGCCGTAGACATGAATCCAGATGAGCGGCATGCACTTCAACAAATTGCATTTGAGAGCACGAAGTGTGGAAGGCAGATAGTAGAAACCATGCAAGTAGATCATCGTAGACGGTTACACTATGCGGATCGTCATGGGGATTGCTGCCTTTCTGATGAAATGTCCCTTGCCTAAGTCCGAGTTTACTGAGTACATGTACACACCATCCACATCTGTTTGCTCCAGGCCTAGATCTTTGGGACGCTACCGCGGGCATGCTTTGCTTCTGGTCTTGGGCCTCTACATCGTGAGCCGCCGCTGGGCAACCTCAACCCCTGTGCTTGGAATTGGTGTGGGCGGAGAGACTTCGGAACTCCAGGAGCTGGAGAATAGGATTGGCCAGAGCAAGGTCTTCGTGGTCTCTAAGCAATGGTGCCCTTTCTGCCAGCGTTTGAAGTCTGTGCTTGGTGAACTGGGCGTTGCTGCAGAAGTTCTGGAGCTAGAAGACATGAACAAGCAGCCCTTAGTCAAGGATGAGGCGGCTGTGCTTGATTCTAGGCCCAGTGCGCTCTCATTCGTTTTGGGTCATTTTTTCTGGGGTGTCTCTATACTAGCGTTCATAGCATTTTAAGATCTACATTGATGACTGTTATACATGGAACCCCCTCATAGCTCAGGTTGTTTATCATTTCGCATGATTTGCAGCACGAACCATGACTTTTCCTGTTGCCAGAAAGAGGACTTAGGATTACATGCAACGGCGGACAGGGGCGCGCTCAGTGCCACGGCTCTTCATCGCTGGCAAGTTCATTGGAGGATGTGTTACTTTCCTGCACCAGAAAGCCTCATTTTTTGAGTGGATCGGGAATCATTGAGCAGAGCTAGCGGCATGAGGAACAAGTAGGATTCACCAATTTGGTAATGGAACGCATGCGTGCCAGGATTTTTGCTACGGTGGTTCCATGCTGTGACTGTTGGGGTAGTTATGCCAAACTAGTGCAGGTTCTCTCCACAAATGCTGTCACGACAATATAGAATCTCTATCAGGAGGTCTGGGAGTAGTAGCAGCCGTCCTCGTCCTTGTCCTCGTCATTCTTGTCGAAGAAGCAGCAGAAGCGTTGGCGACAAAGTTAAGAGACGCGACAACTGCCGTAGCGCCTACACAAAACATTCCTAAATCCTAAACCCTGCGAACCCTAAATCCCACTAGTCACAAAAACAAACAGTCCTAGCTTTCTTGGATGCTAAGCTCTAGCCTCCAAACCTGAGGATGATGCAGTGCGCATGGCTGGCTCTGGAGAGCTGCAAGAGCGGCTCAAGGAAGCAGGGGCTCTATGAGCCTATAATTGGATTAGACATGGTTGAATATTATAGCCTAGAATGCAGATCTACTACTGAGAAATTCTTCAGATGCTTGGAAAATGAGGGAAAAATACGTCGTTCATTTTGATGAGATAAAGATATCTTAGGTGACTCTAGAATTCTAATAGCCCGGACCGTGAAAATCAAACCAATTTCATGTAATTTCTTTCAATTTGGGGGTTGGGACGGGAGAACGGGTCGGGCATGAAGGCCTCTCATCTAAAATCAATAAAATCATCTGAACTCGAGCAAATTTCCGATCGTTACGGATATTATAGAATTTGCGTTTAAATATTTAGATCATTTATATTGATACAAAGATATTGGAAAATGAATGAAAATATGCGACAATTTATACTTACGTCTACGCGGAGAAGATTTAATTTATGGGGATATTGGAAAGAGAATTTTGAGAAGAGATTACGCGTTTAGTCTTCTATTCTTTCTCTATTTCATTTATTATTCTCTGATTATTCAAATAATAATTTTCTCATTCAATGATTAAATAATTAGGAATGATCTATAAATTTTTCTTTCTATAATTATCATATGATTTATAATATTTTCTGAAATATGAAGAGAATAGGTTTTAATAATATTTCTTCGATTTTCAAATTGAATTCGAAATTTAAAGATATTTTATATTGATTGATTGGATTAATATTTAGATATATTCTTATTGTATTATGATGAGATATATAATTGAATATTTCGACATATATTCGGCGCATGAAGATATATATCTATGAATGAATATATCTATATATTATGAATATTGGTCAAGACGCTCCGTACGAGATCGAGATTTTCATAAATTACGATTGAGCCTCTATGCATAGGAGAAGGATATTCATTAAAATTTTCATCACGTTCCGCACGAGAACGCGATTTTCATCGAAATTTTGAAGACGCTCCGCACGGGAGCGCGATTTTTCTCAAAATTTTCACGACGTTGCGCACGGGAACGCGATTTTTCTCAATATTTTCAAGTTACTCTATATGGGAGCGCGATTTTGATTATTAGAGAACGGTATGGAGCAGATCTATTTAATATAGAATTGATATTGAAATATATCTTTTTAAAATCAAAATTTGAAAGATGAATCCGGCAAAATCTATATTAATATATATCTTCAAGAATATCATCTTTGATAAGATGAATCGATAAAATTTCGAGGACATTTCGAATGGGAATGCGATTTTCAAAAATCAATCTATCAAAAAATTCAAGATATTCCGTATGCGAATGCGATTTTGATCAAAATTGAATGATAGATTTCGAAGCCATCTCGAGCGAGAACACGATTTCAAAAAATCGATTTATCAAAATTTTCAAGATATCGTCCCGCATCGGAATGCGATTTTATTTGAAAGAGAATGATCTTCAACGAAATAATTTGATATAGAATTAATATAGATTATTTTCCTTGAATGATCAAATATATGAAGAATGAAATCAAGAAAATTTTATATCTTATCTATATTAAAATCTCTTCTCAAGAATCTGATCTTTGAGAAAATAAATCGACGAATTTTTGAAGACGTCTCGAATGAAAATATATTTTTTTAAGGTATCATCAAATTTTTGAAGACGTTCTGCGCGGGAGCGCAATTTTGACATTTTCATAATATCAAAAATTATTTTAAAAATCATCAAAATTTTGAAGACGTCTCGAATGAGAGCGCGATTTTTGATGATTTTTGGGAAAGCCGGCATATCGTCGAATTCATTTCAGATTCCCCCTTGCAAGACTACTTCAAAATAATCATATAATAGCATAAGATACGCCGAAAGATAAATTTCTCGAGCGAGAACGTAATTCCTCATTTCCTATCAATACGACCAAAATATATGCGCGACGGAAGAGCGTATTGCGAGAAGCCATTCAACGTATTTAATCATTAGAATCTCTTATAAGATAGAGAGAAATAAATATCAATTTGCTTAGATTATTTTCCAGATTATAATATAAAAATTGAAGAGATCTTAGATTATATCAAATTCTATAATTCATAATATTTCTTGAATCTAGAATATTTTAAATATTCTATCCTATAATATTTAGAATATTTCCAATGAAAAATTATAATGAAATTGAAAAATTGAATATATTTTTAAGATTTAGAAATATATTATATTTAGAAGAATCTATTCTTTCAATTACTTATTCAGAATACGAGCATATCAATATAATTCAGAGATAGATTTAATCTATATAAAAATTAACTATTAATATATATAGAAAGATAGAATTAAAAAAGAATTCCTATAATGTAGAAGGTTCTATAATTTAGAATCTGACTAATCATTAATAATTATATGAGCTATATAATTTTCTTTCTCAAATTTATGATGACGATATCATATTTCTTTTTCATAATAGATATAAATAAATTCGAAATAATAATTGAATCTAATAATCGCATCTAATTTATATGCATATCTCCTATCTATCCATATAATCTTCTTTAAAGAATGCTTTACTCGAAATAGAAATGAATTGAAATAATACGATATTAAAAATAACGGCAAATCAAATTCTCAATTAAGAAATCAAATAAATCGTATTATATTCATTTCTATTATATTCTTTAAATCTAAATGATAGATATCCTTTATTCTAGTGAACGTAGATAATTTTAAAATAATAGAAAAGAAATAAAAGAAAAATAATTTTATCAAAATAATTAATCTATTCATTTTTCCTTTCCAATAATTATATCGATAACCTAATTATTTTCCCAATTAAATATATAAATTCTCCGCCAAAATAAAAAGCGAATTAATCCCAAATATCAAAAAATCCGAATATATAAAAGAAATAATAATTATAAAGATATCTAACTTGAAAACTAGAATCCGAAGATCCTCATTTCGAGAAATGATCAATAATATAGAATTTAAGATCATATTTTTATTTATTACGAAAAAGAAAATTATTTATCTTTTTTAGGATCAAATAACGAAAATCAAAATCTATTATCTATAATACGAATCCCTAAATCCTAAATTATCTACCGAAATAATTACTAACAAGAAAAGATCGTCATTCTTTTTTTTAAAATAAAAATCTCTAATCCTAAATAAAATCAATCAATATCAAAAATTGAATTATTAATATAATATTATTTTGAAAGCAAATGATTCTCAGATGAGAAATTTATATTCCAAAAAAATATATCGATAACTCCCATTATAATCATTTATCTAAATTCTATATTAAAAATCATATAAATCAATTTCAATTCCCCAAGATAATTATCATTAATTATATATATCTTATATGATCAGATAATGAATATATATATATCTGTTAAAGAAGAACCTCGGGTCCATCGACGGATATAAGCCTCCTCGCACTAAGACATCTCATACGTAGATCGATATCGATACGATTCAAACGATTTTTTATTCGCGATTTTGAATCGCGAACCCGTATCGATTATCTCTTCTAAATTCATCGTATCTCGTTCTTGAACCTCGTCGCGCCATTACCGCCCCCACCACCATATCTATCGTCCCCATTACCCACCACCACATCCACCGCGACCAATACCGCCACCGGCCACCGCCGCAATATTGAATATTCAAGCGGTTGGCCAGCAGATTATTTCCGTAGAAGAGACGGCAAATGCAATAGAGAATATTGCGCGCCGGCGCGATTCAAATGAAATTTTCATTTTTCAATCATTGCCCTATATCATCTGCCGCTACTATCATTTTCGCCACCTCCACCGCCGCCACTACAAATAGCCACCGCCACCTACATCCCGATCCAATTCTCCGATGGATCATATCGAAATCATTTGTTCGATTGCTCTCCACGGCCTCGCCATGTCGCCGCCACTGCGACCAACCGCCTCCCACCCCGCCGCCCTCCGCTCCCGTCTGCCACCTATCGTTACCGCCGCCTCCCCGCCCCCTGACCCCGCCACGGCCCTTGCCGCCGCCATCGCTAGCATGCCGCGCGCCGCGCCGCCATCTTTTTTCTTCCCGCCCGCAGTTAGCTAATCGGGCACTCGCAAGGAACATTCAGATGGATCCATGTATCCCGCAAGAGACAATCCTGGTGCACCCTTATGCGATAGTATGTTATAGCCCGCTGGTTGGTCAAGCTTCTCGTCTACAGTTGGCGGTAGCCTGATCATGAACAGCTGCAAGACACAAATTGAAGCCGTGCGCCCACAATCCGACAATCACCGAGCGTTCATTGTAATCTTGTTCTCAGTTAGCATGACATTCTTGGCAATCCTTTTTAAGGCCTGGATTGCCGTGCGGGGTGCGCAAGGGAATCGAGAGACAAGCGCATGCCCGTTTGCACATCCTACCGAACCTGTCGTGCAGGATGGCAAGTAGGACGTCCGCACTCGCATAGGCGATTCATTTTGGAACTTGCCGCATGGCCTTCTCTGCCTCGTCCAATTGCCCCAAAACTTCATGGCCCTCTGCTTTTCTGCTCCAAATCTTCCTGGCTAGGGCTCCGGTCTGATGCTCTTGGCTGCATTTGCCCAAGTGCTTCAAACCGCTGTCAGCAGCAACGACGGCCTCGTGATGATCTTTCAGCTTCAGGCAGCACAATGCCATGTTGCTGCAAACAGCGGCCAGCTCCATGCTTAAAGCCTTCTCATCCTTGGCTGTCTTTGGCGGCGTGGCAGAGGCTTCGTTGCGAAGGATGATCGCCTTTCTGTAACAGGCCATGGCATCGGCCCACTGCTGGCGCCCAAAAAGCTGATTGCCGTAGTCTTTACACGCCCTGACTCCTTCCAGCAGAGTCTGTGCACCGTCGGCCCTTTTTGGCAGCGTATTCAGTATGCCTTTCAGACTGGCGAGCTCCACCAAGGGTGGATATAGAGGCGCTACCAGCGCACGCCTGAAATGGCGGCGCTGAGCCTCCTCTGGAAACAGTTTCCGCACCGGGTGCTCACGCTCCAAGCCACACAGCTCACTCCCATGTTCCCTCTGCCCGGCCGCTGACACTCCGGTACTGCGCCCGGTCGAGCGCCCATCTTTCAAGAGGTTGCTTCCAGCCTCAGGGCCTCAGGGCCTCCAGGAGGAAAGCATTCCAACTCGAACACCTCAAAGACCTGCTGGAACAGCTCGTATTCAGCCTGGTTCATGATGATGCTGCGCTTGAGCCCGGGCAACATCTGATACTGAGGGGCAAGGAGGCCAAGAGTATCATGAGTAAGGAAGCTCACTGAAAGGTCCACCCACGGAACTTGTGTGACGCGATGGGTTGGCATGCTGTGACGCACGATGAGCGCAACAACTCCTTGCTTTTCCTGGCTGATGTTCATCAGCTGGTCGTTGCACTGGTAGAAGAACATGAAGGAGTCCTTCAAGTTGACCAAAGGCGGCTTACACGAATCCTCTCGGGATCGTGCAATGTACCGCTCTTCATCATTGAATTGCGCTCCAGAAAGGGTTACCATGGACTGCTGTGTGTAGCACCCCTCCATGTTCAGAAAGGCGTTGTGGGTCAATCGGCGAACAATGCCTTGGAATGGCTGCTTTGGAACGCGAAGTAGCACGGGTGCGGGACCTGAGCCCGACTTCACCCGGGCGCCGTCCATGGCTTCCAAGGAAAACGTGGCATCCTCTGCCCGAAGGGGGGCATAAGCATATGTGAAGCGCAGGACAGCTTTTTCCGAGCACTTCGCTTGCTTTGGTCCTTTGGCTTGACCATCAATGATCTCGAACTCTGTGAGAAACTTTTTGGATCTCATGCGCAGGCCATGTGCCTTGTTGGCCAGAACGTTCGCTACCTGGTCATCCACCAAACGGAAGGTGACTTGCCCGTCCTCAGCCTCCAGGATTCCAAAGGAGCTCGTGAAAGGAGTAGGATCCCGGAGGCCTTGCACGTCTTTGTCTTCTGAGATGTCCATGTTTGGGAATCCAAACCTGCTTCGCATCATGTTAACGTCGCGCAAGCAACTCTTCCTCTTGCAAGGCCAGACCATCTGCAATCTTGATACCAAAGTGAACTGAACAAACTTCTACTTGGGCTCCAGGCTCCAACTTGCAGCTGAAGAAATACAAAGTGACCATGTCTATCTGATCGTCGCACTGGTGCCAGGACCCATAGTACGTGTGCGGGGGACTGTCTCCAACAACTCGGGTGAAAACAAGCGGTTGCTGCTCCCAGGATGCATTGAGAGCCAGGTACGGCACTTTCACGCTGTTCAGCCTCACGTTGTCTCTGAGCTCCTGGCTCGACTGGCACAGCAGAAGGTCACAAAGCACATTCCACTCTAAGCGGCCTTCACCAAGCGCCCGGATCTCCTCCGGGGAGAGTGTTCTCGCCAAATGGGGCAACACCGAGCAGGAGTGGGTCAACACAAGCGAACCTAGCGAACGGGGTCGCTCCAAATGAGAAATCATGGCCCGTACATCCGCAGCAAAGGAGGATAGTTTGCCCGTGCCATCCCACAACACCTTCTCATATGTCATGGCACCCTGGGGCCATGAAGATTCAGCGCGCGGCAATGCAACCCACACCAAGTGGAGCTCTCTGTTAAATGCAACTGCCATGTCGCCCATTCCTGCGCTGAATGCACGGAGGGTTGTGACTTCTTCTGACTGGAACTGGCTCGAAACCGGCCGTACATCAGGCGACTCAAAGCCCATCAGTCGGCAGCCAACTAAGTGAGGCCACAAGTGCACGCCCAGGTACTGGAGTTCTTCCCGCACCAAGTCAAGCCAATTCGTGTCGTCTTGCTTTCGTTTCTCTGAATTGAAGTTCCAAGTCAAGGAGTTCGTGTACAACACTCCATAATCCTTCAAGCATGCTCGTGATGTTGCTAATAAGTTCATAAGGCCCATGTGATCAGCCAGATTCGACGAAGTCGCCACATCGAAGAGCCGGTGACTGGCAACAGTGAAGTGTCGAGAATCAGCAGTAGAAACAGTCCAGTGCACGTGATGGCTGTGCAATCGCAGTGCAAACACCCATTCGCAGAACTCCTCGAAACATAAGCTCATCAGAGGCTTGACAGCATCGGCTGCAAACCGTGGGAAGGCCTCGTATGCATTTGTGCCATAATGCAGGTCGTACTTGCTGCTTCGCCAGAACAACGTCGGATTCGTCCTGTTGTAGGAGGGAGCTGTGGCAACATTGAAGTTCCCAGAAAGCAAATGCTCCTCGACTTCTGCTTTCTGGGACTCGCGCCTCTCAAGGATAGACTTGTGATACATTGGCAGGTCCCACCTGAAAAGGTAACCGTTAACCGTTAACAACTCCCGAAACGCTCTGCCGCACCTCATCCACGGTGACTGCGTGCCGTGGAACAGGTTGAAACACTGAGGACGTGCCAGGCTGCTTCCACCTCTCTGCCAATGTGTTGCGGCGCTTCTGCAGCACTTGCTCATGGCTGGGCAAGGGGGAGCAAAACTTGCCGCCGGCTTCTTTGGTGTGCCCAGCCATCACTAACCATTTCTGCCAGGTCTCCAACACATGCAACCAAGACCTCCCAGAATCATTGTCAAAGCTGCACCCCTCCACGGGGGAATCTTCAGGCCGTCCCATGCAACGCTTCACGAGGCCCTCGATCTTGTCAATGCAAGTTTTCCACTGGGAATCTGTGAGACCCATGGAAAACCAAAGGGCGAAGCAGGTCTCCAATGGCACGGCTTGGTCCAACATGAGTTCAAGCAGAAGTAGGTTGCGGGCTATGACATGCGGGTCAAGTCGTTCAAGAAGAAGTGTATCTGCGGCTGCTGAAAGCACTTCACACCAGGTTTTGTCAGGTTTTCTGGCTTGACTGAAATAGTTCCTCCAGCGCTCTTTGGCAACGAAACCTTGTACCTGCTCTTGTCGCTCTTGTCTTTTAGAAGCTTGTCGATCTTGCCCCTCTGCCCATTCAGGTGCGCACTGCCTTTCAGTCCGCATAGCTCCACGGCAGTCCCTGGCTTGAACGCATCTGCCAGACCGGCCAAAGAAAACAAGCAATGCCTCAGGTCTCCGCATCCCAGGCACAGGACATCATAGTCACTCGCGAAAGCTGCATCGCTGTAGCGCACCAACAGGTTCTGTGCTGGGGTATTGCCAATTGCATAATAGAAGCGAAGACGGTGCAGGATGGCACTGGGACTGAAGGGAAACTGAAGGCCCGGCCCATCTGAGGCAGAAGCCATCGCTGCAAGAAGTCGGAGGCTTCAAAGACATGCGACAGCATATAAAACGTGCTCCCAGGCCGTGGCAGCCGCCAGATTAGGAGTCTAGATTCGATTCAAGTATGGCTTCTTTACCTTTGAACCCCTTGCCCAGTCTGTGTTCGTGGCGTCTGTGAAATAAAAAGGGCTCTGGGCATTCTGAAAAAAGAACAGAGCTGCGGGAGTCTGCCAAAGTTTACGCTACACTGGACAGGCAGAGGAAAGCTGGAATCTCCTCCTTTCGTCTATGCTCCTCTTTCTGGAGTCAATGGCCTCTTCGAAGAAATTGCAGCCTTGAATGAGCTCTACACTGCTGGAATACCAGCGGAAGGACACGTACGAAGGGGTTCAACATGTTGAGAAACCCCGTATATGCACAACATGAGGGATTCGGGATAGGCACAACATAGTGAAGGATGCAATCGTTAAGTTCCTTTTTAATCGATCTGCACTGCCTGGGGCTTGCATGGCACATTATCCAGCTGCAGGTGAGCTGTTGAATGGCTGCCTTCGGGCGCAGGTGTCACAAACAGGGATGCTTGTTGCTGCGCAGGAAAACATTTGCCGGAAACGGCTATGTCTCAGAACTAATAAGGTCTTTTCCTCCAGTGAAATTCTAGTGCAAAGGATCGCGCTGAAATCAGAAAAAAGGCCCCAATCGTTCTGAGACATCCCCACTCGCGGAGTCGTTAGCAACCGTACAGGCAGGAGGATGGAAACGCGTCCTCAAGCAAAGCCCTGGGCAAGCCACGATTGCCCTGCAGGTCCAGGTGTTGAAGAGCCGGGCAGCAAAGCCTGCAAGACATTTGGAACCCAGATAGAATGTATGATGCTTTAAGTCTGTTTAGCAAACGGCCCAACCAAAAAAAATCCTAAACAAAGGGCAGAAGCTTCAAGAACTCTTTCACAGAGGCTCCAGCGGCAGGTGGTATGTGGCACCATCGTAGGCTCAACATCTCCAGTTGCCCGAGACCCTCTGCTCCAACTTCCTGCTGCAGCTCCGACGCATCCGCAGAAGTCTTCAGAAAATGTCGGTTGCCTGGGTCAGGTTTGCTGTAGGATCGGAAAAAAATCTGTCCCCTTTTAGGCTTCAAGCTTCTCGCTGTAGAGGTGTAGGGCTTTACATTATATAGGGCTTTATACGGGGGTATAGAAGGTTATATGGGGGGGCTAGTACCTACATACTCTAAGTTCGGCCTTTGACTTGCTCGATTCTACCTTTCTTCCTTCCTTTCAGTGTTGGCGCATCCCATTCGCAGAAAATGTCAACAACCGGTTCAAAGCTGATCTGACACATCTAGAGCCTTCATGCCTCAAGCCCAAACAGCTCAACCCCAAATTGCTTTGAAGTCAAGCCTAAACCCCGAACTCTTTCTTTAAGTGCAAACCCAAGCCCCAGACTTTTGAATCCTCAGACCTATGAAGCCCTCGCCAAGTGAAAGCCTTACCCCCTTAGACGGACCAAGTTAGTTCTTGGTACCTAGAATCATCCTAAACCCTAAACCCGTTAGGATCCTTTTTAGGATCCTCTAGGGGCGGTCAAGGACTTCTGTGGCAACTGCTTGGGCTCCAACTGAGGAACCAGGGGCCATGACCCAACGAGTTTCCTAAATCCTAAACCCAACTGAAAGCCTCAATGTAAAAGCCTAAATAATTACCAGTATCATGGTTCCTTGGAAAACTGTAGTCTGCATGGTAACCCAAAGTAAACCTTAAAGTGATATTCGCAACTATTTAGGCCCATACATAGGGAGCCCTATAGGAACTATTCTAATGGCTTCATAGGTAAAATATAGGGATTATGATCCCACACATTTCCTTGGTCCCGGGAATATTCCAGCGCAGTACCCCCAAAGTGACTCAGTTGCCTTCCAGGTCCAAACCCTAAAGCCTAAACCCCCAAACTGACCCAGTTGCCTTCCAGGTCCAAGCCCCATACTCTAAACCCTGTACCCTATACCCCAAACCCTGAACCCTACACCCCCACACTGACCCAGCTGCCTTCCAGGTCGAGGAGGCGTAAAGGACAGGATCTCAACAGTCTGGCCATGGGCTTCACAGCCGAAAGCCTGCCGGGAAGCTTTTTGCGCCGTTAAATGGTCTGCAGGCTTGCAGTTGGGCTTATCATGGCTTATCCCTAAAGAATATATTTACATACATGTATATATGTATATCTCTCTCGTTCCCTACTAACTCTAAACCCTCAACCCTAAACACCATAGCCTTTTCCCTTATTCCGTACTAACCACCAGCAAGTTCACTGCCCTGCCTGCACCGGGTCAGGACCAACTCCTCCAGCTGAGGAAGCCCTGGCACAGCAGCAACGAGCGCCTCTACCTCCTGGCCTCAGTGCTGTGGGGACCATAAGTTGTGGGGTTTAGGGTTGACCTCAGTACGATAGGGACTTGATGATTACAGGACCCCCCTCCAATCTTCTTTGAGGGGTTTCAGGTTTAGCGGGTCCCATTCTTGTCTGGGGTGGGGGTCTCCACCACCAGTCAGGCTCCAACACTAAGAGGATGATATTCCCCGTACTCAGGCTTCTACTGTAGGTGGAAGATTCAGTCTTGAAACCGCCCCAGGATGGGTGATAATTGAACATCATCTTTGGGCGATCCTCGTGAGGATCTTATTTTCCTGCAAAGATCAAAACGACCCCGGTCTTGGCCACCACCTGGTCTTCAAACTCCAGGCCAGGTGTACGACTGCAGAAAAGCTTCGCCTAAACCTCACTAAACTTAAACCTTGAATTCTAATCCCCTAAACCCTATACAACCCCATTATAGTAATTTCCATTGTCTTTTCAATCAAACCTCGAAGTTGCAAGCCCAAAGCCATTTTAGTAGCCTCCATATCATCGCCAACAATTTCGCAGTGCCCATTTTCTTTTTCAGACCTTGACTCTCCACGAATTAACAACTAGCGAGTCAACCCTCAACCTTAAGCACTACAGGTCCCTGCAAGCCCCACGTCTTCATTTCATCTTCCACGCGCTTGTCGATTGGATGTTGGAGACATGATAGCTTCCCTTGTTCAGCTCCTAATAGCCCCTATGTAGCCCCTACAATGGTCATATACAGAACCCTGGACAACCTTAAACTTTATGCCCAAACTCTACATGTGGCTCAGCCCAAAATTCGGTGTCCCAAATGAGGGAAATTGAAAAAGCACCCGCATTATAATAGGCAACCCACAAGGGGGACCCGTATTGTAATGGATTTATATAAGGAAGCCCTACATCCTAAACCCTAAACTCCAAATCCTAAACCCTAAACCCTAAATCCTAAACCCTAAACCCTAAATCCTAAGCTCTTAACCTCCCTGAACCCTTATAGCAGCAGTCTGGTGGCCATCTCCCAGGTTCACGTTTGCCAGGTTCAGCCTCCGAAGCGAGCAAGTGCCAGCGGCCAAGTTCCGGAAGCCTGAATTTTTTTTGCTGGTAGTTTTCTCCGTGGCTTGGATCCCCATGCAGGGTTAAGGGTTCAGGGCGTGCCTTTTCTCCGCAGGCGGCTGCGCAGATGTTCATTGACAGGCGCTAGCACAGGGGTTAGGGCTCGGGGTTTAGGGCCGCCAAGTAGATACTGCCACACTAGGATAACTGGATTAGTCACTGTGGGCAACCGGATAACCCCCTAAGGAACCCACACATGAATGATACCTGACATATAGTCTGGTTGAAGTGAATGATCAGTTTTGCAGAGTCAAAACGAAAAATCAGGGGAAGCGGGCATGTCAGGAGTTCAAAGCCCCAGACTTGCGACATAGGACAACTCGGAAACCTAAACCCCAATCAATACCAACAAAACACCAAAGCCCAACCCCCCCCCAAACCGAGAGGCCTTCCCGGCCAAGCTCAGATAGTCGAGGCTGGCAGTCGAAACTCCTTACTGGTTTCTGTAGTGGCGCCTATAAGTCCGGAAGAAAGAATCATCCTCTTATTCCCTTCCTTCATTCCTTACTAAACCCTAAACCCCCAACGCTATACCCTAAAGCCCTAACCCTACACCCTTAACCCACTGACCCTAAACCTGCACCCCTAACCCTACAGACTAAACATAATGCAACTCTTTCAGCTCTCTTCGCCGCCATTTCTGGGTTGTTGTTAAGGGGCTTAAATCAAGTTATCGTAATACAGATATATAGTAGATAAAAGGATTTCCCGATCATAGTAGCTTAATTTCAGTTCCATAACAGCAACCCTAAACCTTGAACCCTAAGCCCTAAACGTGAAGCCCCGGTAGTGTTACACATCGGCGAGGCTCAGGGCGGGTCGCTTTGAAGCAAGGGCTTCGCCCAGGAAACCGCGGCCAATCACAAAGGTGTTCCGGTAAAAGGCATCCTAAGCTTTACAGGAATTATCTGCGCTATAGGGTTTCGGGTTTAGGATGTAGGGTTTAGGGTCTAAACTCCTTAACGGGGGGCTATATAGGGGATCATATAGGGGACTATTTACATAGGCTATAGCACATGTGCGGTTTACATCGGAGTTGTATTAAGGGTTCTGCATGTGAGCTATAGTCTAAACTTCCAGTATTCCCCGTCATAACCCCTATAAGACTGGCTCTATAGAATCACCGATACAACCCCCTTGAGTTTAGACTACAGCTTATCTGGTGATGCTAAGGGTTATGTGTGTGAGGAGAGTTAAACATTATGGGTCAAAAGTGTACACGCGATGGAAAGTCCATCCTCCTCCAGTACTGATTACTGAGCTCACCCATCACGAAGCTGTTTGGGTAACAGGGTCTCTGGATATTGGGGTCATTGCGGGGGAGGGTAGTGATGCCCAGCGATAATAGGAAAAAACCCAAAAGATCGAGCCTTTGTAGTCTGCACATGGCTTCCGTGCAGTCCCCAGACTCGGACTCCCCATCTTGAAGAAGCCCAAACAGATAGGGCCCCAGCGTTCAGGCTGGTGTTCAGCGCCGAATCGGAGCCCCAGAAGGACGGAAAGGGCCTGCCTGTTTCCACGGAGGCTTCCAAACCCTAAACCCTAAACCCTAAACCCTAGCTTCACCACCTTGTTCCATCGTTTCTGGTGTAGGAATTGCAAGCTGGGTGCTGGACCATCGCCTCTCCCTGACTGCTACTTACTACTGTCTATCAGTATACCTCCCATTCTCGGACTCTGTGGCTTTTCGTATGCTTGCAAAAGTATAGTCAACATCCTTGCTGGGGATATTGGAATTTCTCAAAATCCCTCCTGGTAATCCCTATCTATCCCTCCCCTCTCTAAGGGCTGCCTGTTTGGCGAAACCACATTTATTGCTATTGCAGTTGCAGCATGGGGTGGGGAAAGGCTCTTGTAGTCGCCCCTATAACCTAATCTTTCATTTCCCACTAAGTAGGAGCTAGTCAAATGAAACAGGGTCTTGGGTATGTCATAGTACGGGTAGTATACTGCTACATGAGGATTATGACGAGATAATGTTGTATGTTATTTAGGCTTCCACATGAAACACCCCAAACGCCAATGCAGAACCCCAGTTTCCATTTCATTCTACATGCTACCATGCTTTTTCCACATCATCATGCATAATTAGCCCTAAACCCTTATCCCAGACCCTTCAGGGGGCTCCTGACCCCATAAATCCCAGCCCACATTGCTCCGGGTGCGCGCCTGAGCGCGCTAATGCTCGGACGAAAAGCGCCTCCTGAAAGCTCAGGTGACCTTTCGGGGGAGTTGCTCACCACTGGTCCAGAAGATTATTGTACCCTATAAACCCCTAGAGCCAAGTTAATTGGTTTAGGGTTTAGAGTTTAAGGGCTCATAGGTAGTACCCAGGAAACAGGCAGGGTTCCATGGTAAGGGCCCATGGCTAGGACGATAGATTTCGAGAGCGAGAGTTCCTCTAGGTGGTGGACGGGGGGGTACCCTGGCATACCGAGGACATGGTTGTTTGCTTTGGTCCGTCCAGTTTTACGAGGACACTACATGGGTAGTTCCCAAAATTACGGTCCCATTTTGGTACCCCTAAATATAAGGTGCCATAATCTATTATATACCCAAAAGGGCCCCATAATTTTGACAACCCACATGCACGTTGTGAGATGCTGTAGGATTTTCTGATTGAGAGCTACTACGAAGTACCCATGCTACAAGTACCGCCTTCACGTTTTACAAGCCCACCAGATGCGAATGCAGAAGACTTTTCCTGCCATCCTGATGCTTCCTGACCACATCCTTTGGATCAATTTCCCTTGTCGGTTGCAGAACGCCACAAAAGAGTTTGCAGCAACTTCCACTGAAAAGACTTGTGTCTTAGGCTCACGCTGAACTGAAACTCGCCAGTCATGTCACCCAAGGTCAGGATCTTCACCTCAGGGAACCGTGGCAACGAGGATCAAGGACCAACCCTAGACCCCTAACACACCGACCGGCAGGTTTCAGGCATGGCAAAAACAGCTGCAAAACACTCTCTTGGGCCGCTGCTAGAGGGACGGAGCCATCCTTTGCAGAGGTGCTGGGGTCGTCCGCGCTTATTCCTACTCCTGTTTTCAGGTGATGGCATTGCTAGCGTGAGCACGATAAGCTTCCATCAGATTCTTTGACTAGGGTCCCAATGTGTCCTGATTATTGCGAGGTTTCGGAGATTTCCACTGTGGGAGGTGCGCCTCCAGCAACTGCGACCACAACGTCATCTGATCTGGGTCCTGCAAGCGAGGGCTTCTACACGGTCTGGAGGAAGGGTCGACAGGCTTCTGATCTGCTTTCCAACTGCACTAGAAAACCCTAATTGCTCTATGTTCCCTATCTTGTTGAAAGATACTTTACTTGCAGTTCGACTATCCAGAAACCAGGCGGAGTATAGATCATGAAACCTGCCTTTCCAGATAGGCCTTGTTCCTTACAATCTTCTCCAGTCCTTCGCAGTGATGGTCTTTAGGGATCCTAACAGATATGAAGCTTTCCCCAAATTCGGGGTACTTTGTGGGGGTCCTTTAAGTCAGGATTCTAGTATCTTAGGTCCATATTGAGCAATGTGAAGGGAACAAGTGGGACTATAAGAATTCCTATCAGAAGCTCGGAGCTCATGGTCAAGTAGGTGCTCAGGGAACCCTCTCAAAAGGACGGAACCTCCTTAAAAACTCCTGTGTTCCCTTAAACCTTAAACCCTGAACCCAGAACCTTAAAACCCATGACCTTGTGAAGCCTTTCCTAGGATGCCCGTCCTATCTTGGGATCCCTTCCCCTATACTCTAGCTCCTTCTTAGGAGTTCTTCTAAGGATATCAGGATGTCTGTCCTGTTTTGGGATCCTTTTACCCTAAACCCTAAACCCAGGAATCTACCCTACATGGACCCTCAGGCCTGGAGGGCGGCCCGCAGATCATCGGCCTCTTCGAAATAACAGCCATCGTGGCTTCGTAGTTTTCTAAATTGGGACCCGTTTCTGTACCCCCATGCTGCAAAGTGGTTTACCGTAAGGGTCCCCCGAAAAAGGCCGGGAATTTTGAGAATGGCAGGCATGCTGTTGACCATTCCCTGCTTCAACAACTCGCATCATGGGTCTTACTGCTGGCATCCTTGGACTATGATGGGCCTTCTTTGTTTGAGGAGCCTAAACCACATGGCGGGGGGTGACCAAAAGCTTTCGAAGCCATTGTTGTGGCCTGAAAGGTTCGTCGCTTCGCTGTGTGATTCGCCTTGCAGGGCGCATGAGCACTAAACAGAATGCCCTATGATATTGGTAGCATATGCATGTTGCAGGGACCGACACCTTACACGACTTTGAGCAGCATGGGGAGACCGAGACCGCAATCCAAAAAGGACAGTCATAGGCAACAGAACGTAGCACTCAGCTCCAAGCAACGGCGATCATCTGGAGCATCTCCAAAACAGCCTCCGAGAAAAAGCGTACGATGCTCTAGTAAGCATCTTCCCTCCGGAACGACAAGATTGCGCGCATCACGGCTGTCTCCGCAATCTACTTTGAACCACTCCCGCAAAGTTCATTCTTGAGCTCACAGGCTTTGTGGTGGAATACTTGCAGGCCCTTTGCTTGCGGAGGGCGCGCCTGCACTCGCTCCTGCAAGTTTGTTTCTCCATGATGTTGGTGGCTTGAAGAGAGAGCTCCCCGTCTGAAGATGGGGCCCATGAAAAAAACAATCACGACTATTCTATGAAGCTCACTGACTATAACTTCTGAACTCCGTGAACTTACGCAGATTTCCTGAGTCTTGTCTGCAAGCTTTGGCTGCTTTAGATTCACCTGCTCAGCGGCTCACATCCGGCTCCTTGCCGACTCGGCGTTGAAGCGTAGAGAGCATACCCATTTCCTGACAGAACGGTTGGGCAACATGCACTTGCGCAGGCTGCGCGCATGCACTTGAAGGACTCTGGAGGAACTTCCCGCCGTTTATAATCCGACGCTAACAAAATGACGGCAATCGCAACATCGGTGTTGGTGGCGGTGACGGTGGAAGCAGCGGCGGCGGCGGCGGCAATAACCACAACAAAAGCAAGTACTAGCAAACTCGGTCACAATGAAAAGGTAGTCTCGTAGTTGTAGTAGTAGTGGAAATAGTAATGGTCGCTGTGATGGTACTAGTCGTAGTAGTGGACGAAGATGCACAAATGTAATACTCCACCACCACCACCACCACCACCACCACCACCACCACCACCACCACCACCACCACCACCGCAACCACTGCCGCCACCACTGCCGCCACCGCTGGCGCCGCCGCCACCACTACCACCACGACGGCCACTGCGACGGCGACGTACGACGACGGAGACGGACGACGGCGACGGCGACGGACGGCGACGACGACGAAGCCGACAACTACTACTCGCACTACTTCTAGCACTAGAACTATTGCTAGTGCCAGTGCTAGTACTAGTGCTAATACTATAGCACTAGTAATAGTAATAATAGTAGTAGTAGTAGTAGTAGTAGTCGTGGTGGTGGTGGTAGTACTAGTACTAGTACTAGTACTAGTACTAGTACTACTACTACTACTACTACCACTACTACTGCTAGTGGCTACTGGCTGCTGCACTACTTCTTTGGCTTCTTCTTCTTTGTGTTGATGCTCGCATCACTGCTTCCGCATGAAGAAAGATGGCTGGGCGCCCCTCATAAAGATCGTAGAGGTTCTCGGGCAAGCGCTGTGTGTCCACAGCCTGGAACGCTGAGGATAAGACAGTAGGCCCGAGAAGTGCTACTGGTTTAGGCTTTAGGGCTGAGGGTGTTGAGTGGTTTGCGTTGTGAGTCCCGGTGGCAGAATGTAGGAAGATACAATTCTTGAATGGCCGTGGATCCATGACAAAAGTCAACCCCGTCTACTGCAAGAACAACAAGTCTAACATAAACAGGACTACGAGTACCCATCACACGCGTGTGCTGTGGTTCTGCCATGGTTGCTGCTCTCTGAGGACTTGGCAAAAGCACACGCCAACACTGACAGCAGCACCTTGGTCTAATCATGTCTAATCCTTCCTCCCCTGCTACCCGCCCAAGGCATCACTGCTAGCATTTCAAAACAACACAATGGGAAGAACTACGCCAAGAAACAACAGCAGACTTGCAGAAGCCAACTCAACATAATTCATAATCCTTCCTACGGGCATCGACGGCTTGGGGCGCAGCCGGAACTCGGCAAATGGCATCGAAGACGGCCATCCGGGCCTCACGCAGCAATAATGCTAGAGGTTGTTAGTTGTCCTAGAGCTACTTATTTGTGCTTTATTACTGCTATGACTTCTTCTACAGTCAATATACCGCTGCATGCCTCGCCAAACGGCAGCTGCTAAAGGTAGCAGTGGCCGTTCTTGGCCAGCGGACGTCCGGAAAACTGATAGAAAATGAGAAGATCGCGCAACGGTATACAAGGTGTACAGTAATCACATTGATACAGCATTAATTTCCAATGGCCACAGGCAAATATGAGCTATAGTGTAGACTCTTACCTATTCCCCTTCCTAGCCCCTATAATGCTGCCCTATATAGTCGCCTATAACCCCCTTTAAAGCGTTAAGACGATAAGACGGCAGCTTATATGTAGCAGATTCTAGGTCGGCTTGCAATTATACAGACCCGGAACAAAGCATAGCAGTACATCAAATGTTATCCAGATAGCCATGAGAATACGAGGTGCCTCCAGCACTGTTTGGAAGGCTGCGCTGGGACCTTCAATGATGCCCATTGGTGCCAACCATGGGCAGCACAGCACGTGTGCTCGGAATCATACTGGCCAACGCCACAATACTCCGGTTTCCTATCCTGGGTACCAGCACCATTCCAATATGATCGTCCGCAAGCATGATCATGTCAAAAGTCATGCCAAACTTGCGACAGAGAGAGCCCACATGTTACGTACGTTCATCTGGTAGACTCGGCCTTCAAAATGCAGGCAGTCCCGCAGGTGAGCGAAGTGCTCCTGAGGATAAGGCACGCTAATGGGTCATGGTCCTGTTATGACAGAATGAGGAGGCTTGACGAAGAGGACAGGGTTTCTGTAAGCCCTGTTCAAGAGGTACTGGACGATATGGGGTCACCCTTAACAATGATAGGGGAATCTTTGAGAAGCTCCCATAAAAGCAGGGAAGAAGTGGGGTGTGGCGGCTATCCCATGGCAAGCTCCTGCATCTCGGAATTCCTGGCAGGGCATCTGAGAGTTGCTAAGCAATGTACACCTAACCGTCAGCCTGTGCCATTTTCTACCAATATCATGGTTACATGGGTTGTCTAGGGTTGAGGGTGTAGGATTAAATGGAAAAGAGCAATGGAAATAAGATGGATACCGTGTCTATGGTTAGTAAACTTCAAGGAATCAAATGTGGGGTCTCCTCTGCAATCATTTTTTCGGGAAGGAGCGGTTAATGATTCAGGGCCCACATTGCTTTGAACCAGTATTCGTCAACAGCCTTGCAAATTCTTGACTTGCGTGTCCCTTGCCACTGTGGTTGGGTCGTTCAGTTGGTACGCTGCCTTGTCTATCCCCACTTTTTCCGTTCACCCTGGGTACAGAATCCTGCCTGAAAGAAGTCAGGCACTCTTCGTGATGGATTTGCACCTGTGCAGCAAGTTGAGGCGGGCGCCAAAATGGTGCTCATCCGTTGATCTTACATCGAAATGCTTCAAGTAATGGTACTAGAGCTATTCAGATCTACTGGATTTGCAGATACCAAGCTCATTGCCACTTGAATGGCTCAAGGCAGCAATGGCCGGCCTGAGCAGTATGAGATAGACCTTGATACCGCAGTCTCAGCTCGTAGCGCAGAAACCGCAGTCGAGTAGGCCCAGGATCCCGGAAGTAACTCTGGCAGCGAACAACCTGAAGACGAGCGGGCTCACCATCGATTGCTGCCGTGAAGCCTTGGAGCAGCGTCTTGCTCAGACTTGCCAGTGAGGAGGCAGTGGGGCATACGAAGTCTGCCTTTATGATCCCAAGCTTCTTGGAATGGATGCTTAGCCGCTTTTGAACATCCTGGTTTTGCCCTGCATGCCCTTTGCTCTCGGCGCCTTGAGGCAGCTGCAGGGATGATGCTCTCAACCCTACGCTGGCCAGAAGACGCACAGCCGCACAGAAGAAGACGGCCGCGAAGACTTCGTGATCAATGTCCTCACTTGCCGGTGCGACAGCCTCTTCCACGACTGCAGGCAGTTCCTCAAGAGCTGCCCGTTCCTCGCTGGACTCTGGGAAGCTGCTTCTGTAGGCTTCCTCCTGAGCTTGCCGGGCCCTGCTGAATGCCACGAGATGCTTGAAGAAGAGATTTTCTTGAAGCTGTTTCTCAATGATCTTCTGTTGCTGGTCCCCACTCAGAGGTTGTAAGTTCATGATGACAAAGTCCCTGGAATAGAGCCGCTTCCTGATGCCCTCCGGCCGTGAGGTCACCAGCAAAGGGACACCGATTAGAACCAAAGTCTTGGTCACAAACTCCTCCACCGCCAGCTTCATGTTGGCGGCCTGTCCAGATCAGACCACACGGACTGCAAAGATGCAACAACCCTTCGGACCCCAAATGCCTGAACTTCTCTGCTGGAAAACCCAATTCTCACACAAGCAATGACTTCAGCCCTCGGAGAATTCTTTGCAAGCACTCGCCTCATCAATTCCATCCAGCATCACAATCAAGCTTCGCATCTCAAAGGCTTGCTCCAGCATACTCCTGCTATCACACTGCGTTTCCAGGATCGTGACAAGGAACAACAGTAATTTTGACAGCCGCAGCAACAACAAGAGAAATGTCACGGCCTCATGGGGGCACGCCAATTGCAGAGTCTTGTGAAGATGGCTGAGCTCAATTGGGGGACCCAACCTCCAAAACCTTCACTCGTGGCTTTGTGAGTTCTACTTTGTTGTTGATTGGTGGAGAACCTAATGACACCACACCAGCGGATCATAGTCAAAGTCCTCACTGATTGGGAACCCTTTATCTGCCAGGAACAGCGGCCTACATGCGCAATTCGCACGGCGTCCTGGTAGAGCCTTCGGGATATGCAGCGCGGATGTAGAACAGGACAAGGTTTGATGAGGCCTCCTCCTGACTTGAGCATGCGGCTTGGTCTTGCTAAGCGCCTGGCGCCTATACTTTTCATGTCTCGAGCTGAACTGCAATGCCTCTCAGCATGAAGGTGGTCATTAATACTCTTGAACACAAAGCAAAGGCTGGGGGCTCTGCCGATGCCGACTTTTGTCGAAGCATCCGTGCCTAAAGAGGAAGCAACTTCAGCAATGCCGAGATGGTCAGTACTGTTTTTTGGTACACTTACAACCTTCTACAGATCAGGAAAGCCGAGGACGTAGCCAGCTTCTGTATGGGGATGAGCAAAGGGACGAAACGAAACCTGGACTGCGGCAGAGATGCAGAAGTAAGTTACCCCCAAGAGCCCCTATGTGGATTCGCGTAGAATATTGCTCAAGAAACCCAGCATTCTGAGAATGCCAAGGTCTCTTCTGCCTTTTGTGCGGTAGGGGATTGGGCATCGGCTACTGTGCACTACAGTATGGATGTTTATTACTATTACTTTTACTATTACTCTTACTATTGCTATTACTATTACATAGTATCACCATTACTAGTAGGGCCAGTTGTAGATGCCATCTGTGAACACAGTACATTAACTGTCCTCAGGCCCATCGTATGACAACCTCTAGCCTGAAACCCTTAGTTCACAAACAACTCTCCAATGTATTCATCACAGGTCGGCCGCTTTGAACTCCTAAAACACTGCAATCTTTACCGCAAGGGTTCGCCAAAAGAAAGTGCATGGCGAATTGGCGTTGCTTTGGCTCTGAGCGAACTTTTTATACATCTGGCAGCTGCGCGCTAAGAACATAAACCCAAGTCTTGACGCAATTGCATTGCTGCATCAAGCCCCTGTTGTGATCAGAAGATTTTGGTAACCCTCTGTGGTGAATACTTGGAGGTTGGGGTCACAAAAACCCTCGTAGGTCTCCGCCCTACACCCTAAACCCT